TCATCATGACCAAGTGGGAATTTATCCCTGAGATGCAAAAATGGTTCAACACATGCAAATCAATCAACATGATACATCATATCGACAAAATGAAAGACAAAACCCAGATTATTTCAATTGATGCTGACAAAGCATTTGATAAAATTAAACATACCTTCATGATAAAAATCCTTAAAAAACAAGTTATAGAAGGAACATACCTCAACATAACAAAGGCCATCAATGACAAACCCACAGCTAGCATCACACTGAATGGAGTAAAAAAAATAAAAGCCTTTCCTGTAACGTCTGAAACATGACAGGATGCCCACTGTCACCACTGTTATTCAACATAGTACTGGAAGTCCTAGCTAGAGCAATCAAACAAGAGAAAGTTATAAAGGACATCCAAATTGCAAACGAAGAAGTAAATTATCCTTGTCTGCTGATGATACGATCTTATATTTAGAAAAACCTAAAGACTCCACCAACAAACTATTAAAACTGATAAACAAATTTGGTAAATTTTCAGGATACAAAGTCAACATACAAAACTCAGTGGCATTTCTATAGGCCAATTATGAACAATCTAAAAAAGAATTTTAAAAAGTAATCCCATTTATAATAGTCACAAATAAAATTAAATACCTAGGAATTAACTAGAGAAGTAAAAAATCTCTACAATGAAAATTATAAAACACTAATGAAATAAAACGAAGAGGACACCAAAAAAATGGAAAAATATTTCATGTTCATGGGTTTGAAGAATCAATATTGTTTAAATGTTCATACTACCAAAGCAATCTAAAGATTCAATGCATTTCCTATCAAAATACCAATGACATTCTTCAGAAACATACAAAAACCAGTCCTATCATTTATATGTAATCACAAAAGACACAGAATAACTGAAGCTACCCTAAGCATAAGGAATAAAAGTGGAGGAATTACATTACCTGACTTCAAATTATAGTGCAGAGTTATATTAACCAAAATAGCATGGTACTGGCATACAAAAAGATACATAGACCAGTGGAACAGAACAGAGAAGATAATCCAGAAACAAATCTACACACCTACAGTGAACTCATTTTTGACAAAGTTTCCGAGAACATACACTGGGGAAAAGACAGTTTCTTCAAGAAATGGTACTAGGAACACTGGATGTTCCTATGCAAAATAATGAAACTAGACTCCTATCTCTTAGCATATACAAAAATCAAAGCGAAATTGACTAAAGACTTAAATCTAGGATCTCAAGCTATGAAACTACTACAGAAAAACATTAGGAAAAGTCTCCAGGACACCGATCTCAGCAAATTTCTTCAGCAATACCTTACAAACACAGGTAACCAAAGTAAACACGGACAAATCATGTTGAAAATCTTTTACATTCCAAAGTATACAGTCAACAAAGTGAAAAGACAATCCATGGAACGGGAGAAAATACTTGCAAACTACCCATCTGATAAGAGATTACTAACCAGAAAATATAAAAAGCTCAATCGACTCTGCAGAAAAAATTCCAATAATCCTGTCAAAAGATGGGCAAAATATTTGAATGGACATTACTCAAAAGAAGACACAGAAATGGCAAATAGGCATATGAAAAGATGTTCATCATTGATAATCAGAGAAATGCAAATCAAAACTGCAATGCAATATCATCTCACCCCAGTTAAAATGGCTTTTATCCAAAAGACAATAACAAATGCTGGTAAGGATGTGGGGAAAAGGGAACCCTTGTAAACTGCTGGTGGGAATGTAAATTAGCACAACCATTATGAAGGCAACTTTGAAGATATCTCAAAAAAATTAAAACTGGGCTGGACGTGGTGGCTTATGCCTATAATCCCAGCATTTTGGGAGGCTGAGTCGGGTAGATCACCTGAAGTCAGCAGTATGAGATCAGCCTGGCCAACATGGTGAAACCTTGTCTCTACTAAAAATACAAAAATTATCCAGGCATGGGTTGGGAACCTGTAATCCCAGCTACTTGGGAGGCAGGAGAATCGCTTGAACCTGGGAGGCAGAGGCTGCAGTGAGCCAAGATCATACCATTGCACTCCAGCCTGGGCAATAAGAGCGAAACTCCATCTCAAAAAAACAAAAAGAAAACTAAAAATAGAGTTACTATATGATCCAGCTGGGTATGTACCCAAAAGAAAGGAAATCTGTATATCAAAGAGATATCTGAACTCCTATGTTTCTTGCAGCACTTACAATGGCTAAGATTTGGAAATAACCTAAGTATCCATCAACAGATGAATAGATAAAGAAAATGTGGCACATCTACACAATGGAGTACTATTCAGCCATAAAAATGAATGAGATCCAGTCATTTGCAACCACATGGATCAGAGTAGAGATCATTATGTTAAGTGACATAAGCCAGGAGCAGAAAGACAAATATCACATGTTCTCATGTTTTTGTGGGAACTAAAAATCAAAACAATCAAACTCATGGCATAGAGGGTAGAAGGATAGTTACCAGAGGCTGGGAACGGTAACTGTCAAACCATGAAAAGACATGGGGGAACTTTAAATGCATATTGTTAATAGCAAGAAGCCAATCTGAAAAGGCTATATAATGTATGATTCCAACTATATGATATCCTGAAAAAGGCAAAACTCTGGAGAGTAAAAAGATCAACGGTTGTCAGTAGCTGAGGAGAAGAAAGGACCAAAAGGTGGAGCTTGCAGTATTTTTAGGGGAGTGAAACTATTCTCTATGATACTACAATGTTATTTTTGTGAAATATATACATTTGTCAAGTGTACAATACCAAGAATGAACTCTAACATAAACTATGAACCTTGGGTAACAGTGATGTGTAAACTGCAACACATGTACTAGTCTGGTAGGGATGCTGATCCTAGGAGAGCCTGTATGAGGTTGGGAAGTGGCAGGGTGTGTGGGAATACACTGTACTTCCCATCCAGTTTTGCTATAAACCTGAAACTGTTTTTAAAAATAAAGTAATTTAAACAAAAAAGTAAATAGCCTTTTTTTAAATTTGTGAATGATTTTCATTAAAAATTTACAGACAAGACAGATAAACTTCACTGTTGTTAGGAGACCCACACTAATTAGAAAATAGGAGGCATAACTGAGGTTAAATACGAAGGGTGGTATGAACCTATAAGGAAGGCAAATATTAAGAGTGAGCTGACCTCAAAATGTTGGACGTAATGATATATCTATACAATAAAATACTGTTAGTATTAAAAAGGAATGAAGTACTACCCATACAAGTGAAAGCTTGGGTGACCCACAAAAACGTCATGGTCATTGAAAGAACAAAAGACCATATATCATATGTTTCCATTTATATTAAATGTCCAGAATACACAAATCTGCGGAGACAGAAAACAGAGTAACGCTTGCTAAGGGTATAATGTATGGGGTAGTAGCTTGGTGAGAAATGGAAAGTGATCACTAAATGGACATGGTGTTTCTTTTTGGGATAATGAAAATGTTCCAAAAACTGCCTCTAATGAGGTTTCATAACACTGTAAATATAGAAAGACTGTTGAATTCTACACATTAAATGGGTGAATGTTACAGTATTTCAATTACATACCAATATATCTGCTAGAAAACAGTCAACTGATGTTTACATTTGCAGGCACAGGAAGGCACATACTACCTGGACTAAGACTAAACAGGAATCTTAAAGCTGTGTTCAAATCAGGCAATGAATAAAAGAACTAATCCCTTATTCAACACTTATTCTTTGCCAGGAGCTGTGCTGGGTGCTTTATCTTGCTTAAGTCCCTTTCATACCATTCTAGATAGGTAACATTTACACTATTTTCGAAATAGAAACTGAGTGTCAAAGTATTTGCCAGAGAACATGCAGCTCGTTAGAGAAAGTCATCGCAAGTTGAAAATCCAATTCAGTTCTATTCTCTAAGGTCTCCTGCCCCCCAAAAAGAATAGTCCCACTTCTTGGGGCAGATTGGCTTATGCTAACAAAGGACAAAAAATTAATTAAAATGAATGCCTAGGTTGTAGGCAAAGAAAAAAAACCTGTGTTCTCTCGCATAGTCTAGATTATTAACTTTCTAAGAGTAGAGGCCGTGATGGCTTTATACTCTATATGTTAGCTTCTGATAAATATCAATAAAATCTGCTCAATTAAATAAATGAGAAAATACAAAACCAATGAAGCATAATTAACAAGAAGGGACAAAGGTCTTTAAATGAGTTTCCATATTTTATAGTCAGGTTATTACTGTCTTAGAAGTATTATCTCAACGTACACTCTTTGAAGAATCATGGATATTTGGAAAACCTTCATAGCACTTGAAGCAAATAAATGAATAATTTTTCCTTTGGAAAACACCTACAGACCAAGAAAATTTGGACTGAATTTCTGAGCAACTTTGGGATTCAGAAGTGACCATTAGAAAACAAAATAACATCCCTATGTCCAATGTTGGATTAAATGGCCTCTTCAACTCTGATGGCTTATACCAAGCTTCTCCTTAGGTATCCAAATCAGCAAAATTTTAACTATAAGAATATGATGGTGCTAATGGACCACCCCAAAGGCATGTACCCTTGAGTGTTTTCATAGAGAGAGAATTATGGACACGTTGCAGTTGCCCTCTTACTCTAATTCTCTCATGCCCATACCATACAACTGATAAAAAAAAAAAAAAAAAGCTAGGGTTAAGAAGACAGTTTCCCACCCCACCGAAATGTCAACCTTTGGAAGACAGAGATAAGAACCTCTGCTTCTAACCTGCCAAACAAACCAATCTGAAGGGCTTATCAAAGAAGCTCAACCTTATAATATCCTATGATTCCACTTCTGACACTTGAGAGTCCACAATAAACTCTAAAGAAATTCAGTATCATTTTTAAATTACTTGTAAAAAAAAAAAAAAAAAAACCTTTGGCTCATGAATTATGAGCCAATGTCACATATTAAAAAATTTTAATATTGGTACATTTTTCTTATGTTTACTCACAAGATACAAAAATCTTTTTGTTTTGTACTTTTTGTAAATACCTTAAAACCGGGACTACCCATTAATCCATCCTTTCCATGTCTTCCTGGTTCTCCCTAAAAAATAAATACATGTGTTTTATGTATTTTTGCACTAATTTTTCTCTTTAAAGAAAGATACTGTAAGATAGTTTTCATTTAAAGCAAAACACTAAGAGCTTTTTTCTATCAAACTCACAGCAAGTCCAGGAAGGCCAGGGAAGCCAGCATTTCCCTTTTCACCTTTTGCACCCTGTATTGAAAACAAACACTTAAAACACAATCTTTGCAATAATGTTTTCAAGTCCCAACCAAAACTTAAATAGAAAAGCTACTAAGTTAACATCATTATGTAGTAAAAATTCATGGAACTACAACTCATGTTGACTCTGTAAAGCATTCTTTTTCCAGCCCAGTAGATACAATATCAAGACATTAAAAATGTTGATAGATACAGAATTATCATCACAAGAAGCATCTAAACACAGAAACCA